TTGGTTCCCAGAACGATGCGAGCGTCGTAATGCACTATATAAATAGATAAATATTAATTTTATAGTATTTTAAAAATTATTTCGGTCAATTGACCAGTCACTGACAAAACAATTTGACCGGTCAATTCCACAACCCTTATATCGATAGAAAAATATTTTTACTTCTGTTACAACTTGAGAGATTTTTATACTGCATATTATGACGAATGCAGCTTTTACGACTATTTCAACAGTTATTTCTCGAGAACGGTTGCTCTTGGGAAAAACGATTTTTATACATTTTTTTTAAATAATTTTATGATCGACAATTTTTGTCTGATGTAATTTTCCGATAAAACCTACCGTTTTGCAGAAAATCGCAAAAAAAAAAATAATTTTACTTTTGACCATTGGTACATCCAAGTACCGGAATGAAGAGGAACTTTCAAATTTTTGAGGGTCTTAAACAATTTCACTCGTTTCCGTCTTGTTATAAATTGATGTGCCTTCACTCTTCTTAGGTCTCATTTGAACGGACCAAAGCGTTCTCGCAGCTTTTGTTAAAGTTCAATTTGTTACGTATTCGTATCTGCTAATACGTGCAAATCGAAAACGGATAACGAATTATATATTATAAATAAGATGGCTTGAATCGAGCACCGTTAACCGGGTCTCTAAAGGAAATAATTAATTATATTCCGTCGTTTCAAAAACCGCCACGGTGATGTTTTAAATTTCAACCTATATATACATATTTTTTTTTAATTACACATACGCATTCATCGTGTTCGGGGTTTGATGAATGCGGGCCGCTTTTATAAGTGCACTCTCAATGCATTTGGTCGAGTTTTCGTTGCTTTTAAATGCACCAAAGTACAGGAAAAAAGCATTACGCACTACACGTTCCCCGCCTCGCTCCCCCGCCCCTTCGACCGTGACTTCTCTGTACAAACTTTTTTAATGAACACGCACCGCAGGGGCCCCGCGCTGATGGAAATTTTTGTTTGGCTTTTTTTTACAGTTCAGATGCATTTTGCGTGTATTAGAGAGGAGCGCAGAGGGCCGCAGGGAATTGTTTATGTAACCCCGTATGTACGCGTACGCGAAAGTTTAATAACAGAAATGACGCTGTTTCTACTGATGGGGACCTGAGTTCTTGACGCAGACCTGGAATTTTTTAATTCTCGGTACTCCGCTGAGTTATCTACAAATATTGCGGTACTGCAACTTCAGTTTATTTACAAAAAATGTTTTAACAAGAAACAATTTTATGCCTTTATTTTTTCTTTATTGATGCCAACAATTGGAGTGGTAATTGGAGTGGCCAGGTCTAGCTACAAGTATAAGTAACATGATGGCATTACAAAAAAAACAAGATAACAAGCAAATTTTTCAAAACAAACCAAAATATCCATAACATCGCCATTGAGATAACAAGTAGTGAGACCCAAAGATAAGAAATGTTGGGAGGCACACATAAAAAGTAAAGCAAGCGAAAACAGTGACAAAAAACGAATGTACGTCAACACAGATTTAGTATGGAAACCGTGTTCAAAATCATTTTAAGATAGGCAGAAAATTTTATAACGCAGATTTAAAGCATCCTTTAACTTTTTGTTGAATGTACCAGTGCGCGAGCAAGCCTTAATGCTGTGGGGAATACAGTTGAAATATTTTACTGCATGAAACTAAACATCAGAGCCTCTGACTGACTTATATAAGGGCTGTTGTGAACGAGTAATTTCAAATAAAATAAATAATTGTGTCACATAGTTTCAATTTCGCTAGAAAGGTAAAAAAATGTTATAAAGATTAAGTTTATAAAACGTATCAGGTCTAGGTCTCATTTTGTTGTTAAATTTTTGAACGAAGTAGAGGGGTTCAATTGAACTTTTTTAATATATACACTTATATTATTTTAAGAAGGATAGTTGCAATTACCAAATAAAACGACCGATTTATAGTTATTAAGGTGAAGTTTGTGTTCACGGGAGATGTAACTTACAATGTTTCGATAATAATAATAATACGAATACGAAATAAGAAAATACGACTACCACCACTTTCAGTTGCTAGTGTGCCGAATTTATTTACAAAACTTATATGAAGCGTGTAGCCTGACAATTATACATATCCAGTTTCAACAAAATATATAAAAAACAAGAAGATCTACAAATTAAAAGGTTATATTTTAACTAAAACGTTATTTATTTTAGAAACATGGCACGAAAATGAAAAATGGCGTAATGAAATGTGCAATATTTTCATACAAAGATTCTTTCACCGACGAGAAAACACAATTGCTGGGCTCCTGTAAAATAATGTCCATTTAAGGTAGTAGCTATATCACTTTTCTCTTTAATGTAACCTAACTGAACATTTTTAGTAACGTCACTCTAACAAAACGAAATGTGTTGAAGCTTATAACTATAACACTGATTACAAATTTATTATTAAGTATAAGGACGACATTAAGTAGCAGTCACCACTATATAAAACATAATAAATATTTAATAGTATAATACGCAAAAAGTTTGATAAACGCCATTCTAGAGACGAAATAAAAATGTTTTAAGAGTGACTGAAGAAGTATATCAACGTGTTGCATACTATACTCTTTCAACAACTATTAAGTATACATTTAAAAAACGTTAAAATGCCATGTTCAAAATCTACCCAAAAAAAAAAGATTTTGTTTTTAATATAGTTATGCATACCGAGTCGACATTGGAGAACCTCAAATATATTTTGTTGAAACTGGATATGTATAATTGTCAGGCTACACGCTTCATATAAGTTTTGTAAATAAATTCGGCACACTAGCAACTGAAAGTGGTGGTAGTCGTATTTTCTTATTTCGTATTCGTATTATTATTATTATCGAAACATTGTAAGTTACATCTCCCGTGAACACAAACTTCACCTTAATAACTGTAAATCGGTCGTTTTATTTGGTAATTGCAACTATCCTTCTTAAAATAATATAAGTGTATATATTAAAAAAGTTCAATTGAACCCCTCTACTTCGTTCAAAAATTTAACAACAAAATGAGACCTAGACCTGATACGTTTTATAAACTTAATCTTTATAACATTTTTTTACTCTTCTAGCGAAATTGAAACTATGTGACACAATTATTTATTTTATTTGAAATTACTCATTCACAACAGCCCTCATATAAGCCAGTCAGAGGCTCTGATGTTTAGTTTCAATATTTCAACTGTATTCCCCACAGCATTAAGGCTTGCTCGCGCACTGGTACATTCAACAAAAAGTTAAAGGATGCTTTAAATCTGCGTTATAAAATTTTCTGCATATCTTAAAATGATTTTGGACACGGTTTCCATACTAAATCTGTGTTGACGAACATTCGTTTTTTGTCACTGTTTTCGCTTGCTTTACTTTTTATGTCTGTCTTCCAACATTTCTTATCTTTGGGTCTCACTACTTGTTATCTCAATGGCGATGTTATGGATATTTTGTTTTGTTTTGAAAAATTTGCTTGTTATCTTGTTTTTTTTTGTAATGCCATCTTGTTATTTGTACTTGTAGCTAGACCTGGCCACTCCAATTGTTGGCATATATATATATATATATATATATATATATATATATATATATATATATATATATATATATATATATATATATATATATATATATATATATATATATATATATATATATGGATATCGGAATATTGTCATATTTTGTATTTGGTAAATGCGCGGTGTTGCCAACAGAGCTGTCATAAACCAATAAATAATTGTGATTTTCATCAAGTAAAAGCCACTTCCTATATTCAATTCCGATAAAAAAAAGTTAAAAGTCTGGTGTATTGGCAGTTTTGGAGATATTTTAGCGTTCAGGTTACTTGTTACTAACCCGGTATATTACCTGGTGTCACGATATAAATATATAGAAATGTATGGCTATGAAGTTTTTTTAGGTGTAGTATTTGTTTATTAGCAATTTAATTCACCTAGCTGGAATTTTACATATTGATCACCATCCTTAACCCTGAATTATTTTTCACTAATCATTTAAGTTGTTTTTTTTTTCGTATTGCGTTAGTTTCAGTTAGGACTCTTTGACCGTTTGAAGATCTTAACTGCCAGGATTCATGCAGTGCTTAAATTTCGGCTGTCGATGTCGGTAAAGAAGATCTGCTGTTGAAAATAATAAACTTTTTGGTTGGTTGTCCATTATCTTCTCTGCTTGGTTGGTTGCCTTTTGTTAGTGTCCTTACTGCTTACCCATGTTATCAGGCTCACTCTCGCACTTCTCACTCTGTGGTTTTGATTTCTTGAACTCACAGTGTTTTAACAAAATCTGGATTTTGATGGATGGTGGAGATTTTCCTAAATTATTTTTTCCTACTGTTTACATTCAATTTTCACATTTTCTCAATCATGTTTCGTGTAAGTAGTGGAAGTAGTAAGTAGTGGTATTAAGTTGATTTTCTAAAACGGACAATAATCCGTAAATAAAGACATACATTAATGAACACTTATCTTAACCATCTGAAAAGTTATTGAGAGTTCACAGTCGACACATGGAATCTTAAATGAAAAAAATCAAATCGCTACTCGCGCCGGACATTAAACGCGGCTGTAATAAATTAAAATCGTTACTTTAACCACCAACATATAATTAACCATTTAAACCTATATCGTTTTTTTTTGCTATTTAGATCAAACGAACAATTCGCGTTAATTAAGCTATTTTTCAGTTGTCAGCGTTTTTAATTGATCGCTGAAATGTTCCCCGACGGAAAACATGCAAGAATCCGTAATAATTGCAATTGTTTCTGTTTCGAAAAATCTGGGTCACAGTTTCGGATTCGCGGCTTTCTCGATTAAATTCGTGTGAGTTGTAATGGGACGCAATACGCCCACCATTAGAAGAAAGCCTTTGTTTGAAATGAGGTTCGAGTATCGTTCGTCGAATACTGTTTGATCTGAATATCGAAAATGTTCGAAGGTTGAGCGCGCTATAAAAAACTATTCCTTCGTTCCAGGGTTGGAACGAATCGCTGAGGAGTTGATGGGTCGAAGGAAATGGAAAATTTACCAAGAATCCATGTCCAGAAGTTATCTGCAACCATTAAACAACAATATAAAACGATCGAACAACCCATCAGAAGACGATTGCTATCAACATTACCAGAAGGAAAACAACCAACACATCAGCAGTCCCAAGAGGTTCGTATACCATTGAAGAAAAAACAATGTTCCGAAACGCAGTGTTCTGAACGATCCAGTGCCGTGGAAAATGTAATAATATACTAGTAACAGTTTAGTATTCAATATATTTTTTCTAAGAAAATTATTCCCGTCAAAAATAATATTCCTACCACTGGTACCTACTGAAATTTTCTCAGCTCTTCCTCTAAAGAACTTCTACTTTTTCAAACTTTTTCGAAAAATTCGAACAAAAGCTATTAAGGCGTAATTCTTAATCTTCTAAGTTTTTATCACACTAAAATAAAATTCAGCATGCATCAACTTCAAACCTTATTTCCGATGCATAGACAAAACAAATTATTTTAATTATTATACTATTTTCTTTTTGTCATTACCTATAGTTGGACCTCCGTATTGAGTTTTCTAAATTACAAACTTCGTGATTGAATTTTTAGTAGTCGTTCTCAAACATCTTGTTTCTAGTTTGGAATTATGTTCATTTATTTCGTTAAACCGTGCTTAAGGAACCACGGATGAGGCAACAGTTACAGCTAATATTTGAGCAATGATACTTAAAATTAAAAAGAAATTTAAAGTAAGGCATATAGATTCATGAAGGTATTTGACAGAAGCATACCTGGTAAACGCAATAATGAAAATTATTCCTAAATGCTTTGCTGTTCTCGTAGCTTCTTCCTAATAAAAGCGGCCCCCATCTTTCTGAACATATGAGATTAATGTTTAACTTGGCCAATGCGAAGTTGCTGCCCAAGAGTTTGGTATACACATACCAAATTTTACCGGTAAATATAGTAAATATAATTTTAGGTTTTGGTTGGATCTACTTCTTATTCGATAAATTTCAGTCAACAACAGTGTTTAATGTTACTTAGTATGTGTATTACGCAATATTTAGCATCCGAAATAATCTTGGTACCCTCACTACAGTGTCCATTCCCTATACAGGACTAAGCTGCAACCCTAAGGGTCTTTCTTTTACTGAGAGATATGGGATTTGAAAAACCACCTGAGCAGAGATACGGACACGCTGCTTTGGAGAAAAAAAAGCTATAGATCGTAGTCATTCGAATTGCTCTAGGCATTTTTAAGATTCCTTTTAAACATTTTCTGAAAAAGTTTGGAGTTGTCGAAAAAATAATTGTTCTAGTTTGGAAAAATTCCAAAGACAGCAGTTATAGCTATACTAATTGTATGTCAATTATATAACAGTTATCTTATAACAGTTGTGGCGAAAGGATATCTTTAAATAGTAACCGATGTAACGCACAAAAAAGATAAACACATTATTACATATTTTTTTCAAAGGCTATACGAATAAAAAATTATTACACAAATAGTACGAAGATATATCATAAATTGGAAAAATTGGAAACATAAAAGTTGTAGCGATTGCACTTAACCGTTAGGATTGTCCTCATATTAAATAAATATAACAAAAGAAAATGGAGAAAAAAATCAAACATAATTTTTAAAGGAACTAGGTTGTATTGCAAATGTATGAACTAAAAATGTAAACACCAGTTTCATCGTTGTACCGCAACTCCAAAAGTAACTAATAATTTTATAATTCTTATTATTTGATGTTCTTTGATTCAGCTCAGTATTGCATATTTTGCAAAAATTTTTAATCAAGCGAGATCAAATCAAAAATTTTGTATATGCCGTATTACATTGCATAATATAACTCATGAGACATATACAGGGAAGCTGATTATTGCGCGATTCTTTTATATCCCTTGTTACATCCTTTTATTTTATTAAAAAATTCTAAAAACGAAAGTTGTTTGTTTAAATGTGCTGCGTATGATTAAGATAGTTGCCATTATACGGAGGATCTCATAAGTATCTCACAACCCTTGAATTCCGCATTTTAAGCAAAACATTCGAAATATTATTTCATTTTTAGATTTGTGATAAAATTTCTTGGTAAATTCCTTGGGGGTTGTTTATACTTAATACCCATAGAGTTTCCACTGAATTTTAAACTAAAAGTCAAATTATTTATCTCTTAGAGGGCTTTCAAAATTTATCAATCAATTGCATCATATTCGAAGGTCTAAAAACCTCGTTGTTGCATCGTGTGATTCAAAATTTAATTCTGCAATTAAAACACAAAATTCCTTCTATAAGTTGGGTGCTGTGTATAATTTAATTCCATGCAGTACATCCATACAAAGAAGTTTTGCCTTTGAGTTAGCTAGTAGTAATGGGCTATCATCTATACCCAATCTGAAAAAAAAATCCACTGGAATAGCGTTTTATTTGTCGTTATATTTGAGATCTGAATTTTATGACAAGAGAGTAAATAGTTTTTCGTTCCAACTTCGCAAATTCTTTTTTCTTGGGCTACAGCAGACTTGTCATTTTTGTTTAAAAAAATATATTTTCTTCTTACGTTTTTTAACGCATTGTGTCTCAGTCACATATTTTCATTATGCTCCCGATTGAATACTACAAATGCCCCAAAATTCCAGTCGTTTCTCTGAAATTGCCCGAAATACCCTAAAACGTTCTAAATACCTGGAAGTTCCCCTCTTTAATTATTGTCGAGAAATAAACCAAGATTATATATATTTAACTACCCTGTTTATTTTTGGATAACTATGGTTGTTTTTAATATCATGATATATTGACGTTTTGAAAAAAATCGTTTTTCTTCTTTGGCCATGACATTTTATTTTAAAATAGTATATTATGCAACAAGTGTGGTGAACAGCATTTAAGTCAAGGGTTTATTCGGCAGTTATATAGCGGAGCGAGTGTTTAATAAATGAGTGACTTAAAGAATTTACCCAATGTGTTACAAACTATATTTTTTCTACGAACGCTAGTTTTTGGGTACATTTTTGCAAAACAACACGAATACACCGAAAAAATACCATTTTAGTATATAATGACAGTTAACTACTGCAGTTTCTATGACAACAGCTATCATGGCTAATTTGATTTTTTAAACAATAGTTATTGACTTCCATTTATACAATATTAGATAAAATGCGCGGTATTTCAAAATCTTTCAAAAATAACCCTAACAACTCATATATTTTTGAAATCAGTACCACAAATACAATCGATTAACACATAAGGTATTCATTTTTTTTTAATATCGACCTGTCAGAATTTGATAGATAAAAAAAGTTATTCATTTGGAAATTTATAATTGGCCACCCTGTACATACTGGAAGACGCGGGATACATCCTTTGAACACAGGACGCCTAGTAATAGGGGAAGTGTGATTTCCCTAACTGTTCTCGATTGCCCTCCGTTCTCAAGTTTGGTTTGTTTCTCGAAAATGATTTAAGATCCTATTAAATTTTCCAGCAAAAAAAGAGTTAGGGTCTGAAAAAGCAGTGCAGAATTGCAGCACCCACGTCGGCATCAGTGTAATTCTATAATCTGTAGATGCGGTGCAGTTCGATATGTATTTTTTTACGTAAACTATTTTTTTGTTAGGTTAGTTTTGATATACTCATAGGTTTAACTTCCATTGAAATAACTTTAAGAAGCTAGATATCGCACATGAAACATCTAAGTGTTCTAGAGGCGCCTCTTATAGGCAGTATTTGACAAGGGATATTTCTTAGGCTTGTTCTAGTAAAAATTTAACTTGTAGCTTGTAATTGCTCTGTAATTCTTGTACACTAAAACATATTAATCAAACATCCTTCGTAGCGATTTAAGTGTACCTAAAAATGTAGGGGATTTTGTTTAGTAAATTCACACGTAAATATTTGTTCAAGTCTATTTTCCAGTTTGTTAAATGTCAAATATATAGGCTCACTTTTTCTCTAAGATCCTATTAGATCCTCGTATTTGCCACATTTGTTGTAATTTTGTGAAAGCACAAATTGTACAAGTTTGCGAGTACTCAGTACTGAGTATTGACACCAAAAATGAAAACAACAATGGCACAGGGAACAGACTTTTCTGCGGCAATAGTAACTACTTAGATCGGCGTTGCCAATTGTGTTGCGTTTTTATAAAAATAATGCAGTTTTACGGCGATGTAGCAGGTCAGTCTGCTGGGGGTTACGCATGCGCAAAAATCCATGCCTTCTCCACCTGCTGTGCATCAATTTTGGCCGTAGTAGAGCCATTATATTATCTTATAGCTATTTGGGATAACCCATCCCGTATCAACAAACTCAACAGCTAAACTAACTAGACTAACCATCGATCAAAGGACACCTTGTAAAAGGGTAAGGAATTTCCATTACTTACAACATTTTAAGGTATTTCGGGCAATTTTTGATAAATGCGATGAATATGGAACATTTAATCGGGAACGCAATGAAAATATTAGACTCAACAGGCATTTTGATCGGTTCTTTTTTTGAAGCCTCAAGCAGAACGTTGTGAGTGCGGCTTCAGCTGCGGGGGCGGACCACGAAGAAGAAGCAGCTGCGACCCAGGCCGAGGACGTGGTGTTAGAAACAGCGTCGTCGAGGGTTGCGCAACGAGACGACGACGCAAGTGGCGGCGCCGGCACGCCGACCGACTCCACGAAAGAAAACGAACGCACGTGTTTCAAAGTCGAGGAAGAGGACGAAGAGGAGTATCGATTAACGAAGGACTGGACGCCGCAGAGCAAGTGTTACTTCTGCGCCGACGGCAAACTGGATAGTGAACACGCTGCGCACGGGGTTTTGGTAAGCGCAATCTATTTTTTAAATTGATTAAAATTATAAAGCGATGAAGGAGCGAGGTTGGAAAATGCACCGATGAGATGTCGCTCTCGGCGTTGGCGTTGGTTGGAAAAAAAATTGAAGAGTGTCCACATAGTGTGTCAAAGTAATATATCTCGTTTATTATTTGTTTTAGAGAAAAATGTTAAATACAAAAGTTATAGATGAGACTAAGGGAAACAATTTAAAATTATTTGCAAATAAACAGCGCGCTTCATGAATATGCGGGAAATCAAACTTATATTAATATACATCATTTATATTATGGTATTAACATACACTCCCTTTTATACTCATTCAATCTAAGTTCTTACGATCTGTACTGAATGTTTTGGATTTATGGACCTGTGTTTAGTACCCTATACTTTGGATGCCGTTTCCGACAGCTGTGCATGTGCATTATGCATGGAAAAATTGATGTCATGGATGAACGGTACCAAGTTTCTATGAGCTGAACGGTTTTTGTGAAAACCATGTTGACTTGGATCTATGTCATTCTTTGCCCGAAAAAAAAACTGGGAATAAATTGCAGCCTCAAAAACCTTGGCAAACTGACCACTTTCCCGCTTTTTGGAAACATCCCTTGACCTAGACATTTATTAAAGAGAATGTTAAGAGGTTTGGACAAAAGTGCCCTTTCAATTTTATTAAGCATTGCCTATACCTAAACTTTGCATTTTTTGACGTATACAAATTTTTACGAACAAAATAAATATTACCTGAACGTGAAAAGTCTACAAAGACGAATTAAGTATAGTCATTTCACTAATAATAACTTTACACGTTAATACAAAATGTAATGTGGAAATAATTTTTTAAATCCGACATTTAAATAAAGAAAAAGAACTGTGCAACTTAGAAAAACAATTTAAACAGGTACAATACTAAAAAGGAAATATCAATATTGCTAATAGTTGTACAGGCATCACTTAAAAACTAAAACAAAACTGCAAAACAAAAAAATTAAAGTTTATACTATTTACAAAGCTTCTGGATTGCTCCTACTTCGGTTGTTGTTCAATTGAACTTGCTGATATTTTGCTAATCATCCTGTTGGCTTCTTCACAGCTTTTGATTCCGTAAATAACACATTCACACACAACAAAAATCATTTTGCTCAAAAATTCTTTCGCTTTTCTACACAGGGATCTCCGTTTCTGCTGTACCTGGAGCAACGGCTAAATTGGGGAAGTTTTAGAGGAAACTTTTGATCACCGGATTCAGATATACGATCAAATAGTTTGGGAATAGTATATTATGCAACAAGTGCGGTAAAAGGCATTTGACTCACGAGTTTATTTGACACGAGCGGAACGCAGCGGAGCGAGAGTTTAATAAACGAGTGACTTAAAAAGTTTACCGAACGTGTTGCATACTATACTTTTTCTATTACCGTTAGTTTTTGGGTACATTTTCGCAAAACAACACGAATTCATTCACTGACACGACAAACGTCAAAATTGAAGGCGTGGGAAATATCTCCGAAAACATCCGACTGCTCCTAAATCCGTGCGGTAAAATCCCGGAAATGTCCGAAGTGGCTCGGATTCGTGGGAAGCGAAACTGACGTGGTAAAGTGACGCTTCCCGCACGCTAGATCCGTGTGTAATTAGGTATTTTACAGACGGGAGTTGAAAAATATATTTTCGAGAGTAAATCCAATGCAGTTCGAATAACAGCTGTTACAATGTGACATTAGGCACTTTTTTAAGACTAGTAAGTTAGAATGTCGCCAACCACATTTCATTTTTCGATTTTTAAAAAAAGCGTAAAATTTCCAGTTCACTGGTGTTTCACAAACGATTTTGTCATACGTCGTATAGTTAAGTCTTAATTATTTTATAAGTACACCATGATATAACATTAATAAGTAACACAGAAAAAACCCTATAAACGCATTGAATTTTCCATAGAACATGAAAGTGAAGAACGACTTCTCTTCAAGTTTTGGACAAAATTACCTGCTGAGTGTTTTTTAATTTAATTTAATTAATATTTGAAAAACCTGCAAGTTCGACACAAATTAAAAAGAAAATCGCGACAGAACCATTTTACAAGTATTAATTTGCAGATCTGTCTCAACACGTTTTTGGCACTTTGTGACTCATTGTCTTAAGGTTCCTGTAATCTCGGAGGATCAAATTCGTAGGCCTGCTTTGGAAGCCAGTCCTCCATCTTGTTGAAATCAGATTCAATTAAAAAATGTGATGTAAATTACCAATGGTTTCACACCACCAAATCTATAGAAACCCTAAGACAAAGAGTCAGCAATTGCCAAAAATGTCGACGAACATGTTTAAATTTTACATTACACTTGTAAATGTTGTATAGTGTGTTTTAAGTGCTGACATTTCCTTTTTAAAAAAAACACGCAGTAGATGATTTGGTCAAAACATCTCACTTGTTGAGAACTCGTTCGTTACATTCACATTCTATTGAAAATTCAATGCGTTTATACTGTTTTTTAGGTGTTATTGATTAATGCTAATGTTGGCCTGCATGGCCTACTCATAAAATAATTAAATCTTTGTGCACTTAAAAAATCCAATATGGCGGTCATAAGAAAAATAAAATTAAAGTGGGTCGCGAGATAAAAAACTAATTAAATATTGCTCATCAATATGCGGATGATACTCGATTCTTCTTGTCCTTCAAATACCTGGAGGCTGCAGCAACTCTTAATAAAACCAATCGAGATCTAGAAGCTCTGAGTCGCGTCTCACAGAATCACAAGCTCTTCATTAATGAATAGAAAACTCAGCTTATTATTTCGGCAAAGAAGACTACGTAATGTAGCTAATGACCTCCTACCAAATATAACGTTTCTCTGAACTATACAGAATGCTGCAAAAACCTTGGTTTATTTATAGATACCAACTTACGATTTGACATCTATGTTTCTTCATTAATTAAAAAAAAAGTCAACACCGAATATAACACACTATAGAAGTTTTTACACTTGATATTCTTTCTCTTTAAATTGCATTTCTCCTCAATATTTTATTTGATTTTGTTTTGTTAGTGGAAGAAGTAATAGTTTTTTTGTTGTATTAAAATTATTATTTAGGTAACGTTTATAGCTGGTAATTTTAAAAGCTTCAAGTCTTTTTTGGTTTGACTCTGTCAATGTTACTACGACTAATTTGCTCATTCCTTCCAGTACTGATTCATTAAACATCCTGACCACACACGAAATCTTCGGAATTCTCCATTCTAAGGCTTCAAGTCTTCTTTGGTTTGACTCTGTTAAGGTTACTACGACTACTTTGCTCATTCTTTCCGGTACTGATTCATTATAAACCCTGTCCACATACGAAACCCTGTATATCCACATTTTAAATGCTTCAAGTCTTTTTTGGGTTGGCTCTGTCTGTCACCCTGTACACCCACGAGATCCTCAGAATTCTCTTGTATAGCCACATTTTAAATGCTTCAAGTCTTTTTTGGGTCGACTCAATTAATGTCACGACGACTATTTTAACATTTACAACTTGTAGGATTTTTTCTTTTCCTAATAATGTTTAACACTGTTGGGTTTGTATTAAAACAACATAGTTGAATACCGCCCTTTCTTCAGTGACTTAACTGTAATCTTTCCTTTGAATTATGCAGAAATAAAGACCCTTTCTTACTATTATTATTGTTATTACTTTTGGTTAATTTTTGGTTTTGGGGCATTTTCGCTTTCGTATTGGTGCACAATAAATTGTTTTAGTTTAAGTTTATTCCAAACGTAGAACTGAAAACCTGCTTATCTCTACACCACTAAAATACGTCTGTGACAGAACTTCATTTCGGTTAATGGAGGGCAAGCGAGTAAACATCGCCTATACCGATTCATCTGTCAAGCGCTTCCTGCGTTGCTTTTGCCGCGTTCTTTTAATTTCCCCGCCAAAGAATAAAATTCTTTATTAAAAAACGCCTCCTCTCGACCAATCTAAATTACCATCAGGCAATTATTTAAGGAAAATAAGCTGGCCAACCCATACACATAGGTACAGCCGATTTACCTTTAGCGGAACACAAATTCATGAATATGTTGCGAAATGACGCATATAAGTTACAATTAGCGCATTTGTTACACCCGTTGAACAAAAGGAACAAGGTCCGTGCCCGTCTAGCCGCTTTTCTATGTAATTTCGGTGTTTTATTGTTCGGCTAGTTTCTTTGTTTCGAACGTTTAAAAAGAACGAAAAGGGAACAGCAGCGACAAAGCGACGTGGTTGGTATTAATCTAATTTGGCAAATCACGCACACGCACGCGTCGGCAATCATAAAACGGTGATTGTTTCCTAGTTTTACTCGTTCTCAGAAACGTTGCGGGTTGCTGATTCGTCGGGCCACTCGAAGTAAGCATCGAAATAACCTTCGACGTCTGGGTTTTGTTTTTGTTTTGGTTAGTTGCGCGATGCGATTTCGTACGCATTTTTCTCATTCCTATCCAGTTATTTTACAGATGGAAAATGCAAATCTCAACGTAAATATATCTTGTTCTAAATATCTTTAAGTGTTTGTTTTCGTTTGGCATTGTTTGCTCATTCGTTCCAGTACTGATTCATTACTCCACCCGCGAGATGTTCAGAATTCTCCATATTTTAAATGCTTGAAGTCGTTTTTCGGTTGACCCTATCAATGCGACTACTACTACTTTCCGTTGCTCATGATTTCCAGTACTGATTCATTAGGCACCCTGTCCACCCACGAGGCCCTCAGAATTTTCCGATATACAGTTTAAAGTTTTTTTTGGGCTGACTCCGTCAATGTCACTACTACCAGTTCCTTTTGATCATTCTTTTCCTGTATAGTCAGATTTTAAATGCTTCAAGTCTTTTTTGGGTCGACTCTGTCAATGTCACTGCTACCACTTCCCTTTGATAATTCTTTCCAGTACTGATTCATTAGCCACCCTGTACACCCACGAGATCCTCAGAATTGTCTTTTAAAGCCACATTTTAAATGCTTTG